AATGAATTTGAAGAAGTGGGAAAAGAAAAAAACAATTTTAGTAGAGGAGGGAAGGGGGAAGGGGGAAAGAAATGGCACGAATCCAACAGAAAAATTTCTCACATTTTCACTCGCAAGTTTCTGACACGACGGAAAAAAAAAAAAAAAAAAAAAAAAAAAATTATTTAACCGGATGTTATGAAATGTGTCGAATTTCGACAGCGCGATATTGAAAAATCGTTAACGGGGAGAGGGGGAGGGGGATTTAAATCGTGCAAAAAGAACCGTGATTAATAATAATAATAATAATAATAATAATAATAATAATAATAATAATAATAATAATAATGATAATCCGTTAGAAAATAAACATTTTAAAGAAATCATCACCGGACAGATTGATGAGGGGACCACACGCACCACGTACGCACTGGAAAATTTTTTTTTTTAAAGGAAAAATCAATAAAATCGATATTGACAATTTTTTTATTTTTTTGATTACGTCGAATCGATATTAATCTCTCTCTCTCTCTCTCTCTCTCTCTCTCTCTCTCTCTCTCTCTCTCTCTCTCTCTCTCTCTCTCTCTCTCTCTCTCTCTCTCTCTTTCTCTCTCTCTCTTTCTCTCTCTCGCTCTGGAAAAAAAAAACTCGTTGTTGACCTAACTAACCTTCTTGTATTTCACATAAAATAAAAAAATGCAAAATTAAAACTTTCATTTTTTTTATGTTTGTAACCCTGAATTTTTAATTTTTTTTTTTTTTTTTTTATACTGGAAGGCTTTAATGAACCGGTTTCGATCGGGTAAATAGACAAAAAAAATTTTACGTGGAATATTTATTAGTAAGAATCGAAAAGAAAACAAACAAACAAACAAAAGAATAATAATAATAATAAGGTTTGTTGTGAAATTGTCGTTTGTCGAACTCGCGAATAACCTAATAGATCGTGGTTAAAGAAAAAAATTAAAAAATCATTTTTGTTGCATTATTATTATTATTATTATTATTATTATTATTATCGTTTCCGTTAAATTAAAAGAAAAAAAAATTCTCCTACGGGCAAAAAAACAGAAATAAACTTTTTCCACGTTTTCGCTTTTTATAAAAAAAAAAAAAAAAAAACAATATGGCGTCTTCACGCAACTCTATATCCTCTCGAAAGTTTTTTTTTTTTTTACTTTCTCTTTTGTTAATAATAATAATGAAAAAAACACCAAATAAGGGAAAAAAATAAAAATTTTTTCAAACCTCGAAAAACAGGTTCTTTTCCTTTTTTATTTCGGTGCCGAAAAAAAAAAATAAAAAATAAAAATTACTTTTTAACCATCCCTCGGGATTTGTTGTTGTCGCAATCTTTCGATTTCATTCATGTTCATTTATTTTAATGTTTCGCTTACGGAAATTAAATAATTTATTATTTTAAAAAAAAAAAAAAATTTTTTCTCCCCCCCTTTCCTTCCCTTCCCTTCCGATCCCTTCTTTATTTGTATCGCATCCGGAAATTAGTTTTATTAATAATAATAATGATGATGATGATAATAATGATGATGATGATGCTATAACGGTTCGACTATAACATAAATTTCTCGCTATAATTAACTTCTATTATTTATAGCCGGCAAACTCGTTAATGATATTATTTTATCGATGACTTAGAGAGAGAGAGAGAGAGAGGGAACGCGCTTCTAAATAAATAAATAAATAAATAATAATAATAATCGTTTTATTATAGCGTTCTATAACGCTATAATTAAATTAATAGAACTATAAATAAAACTTACGAAAAAAAAAATTTTTTTCTCACGGTTTTTTTTTTTTCTAGTTTTGCGTTTGTCGTAAAGAGGAATATAAATTAATCATTTATCAAAATTATTTTCCTCGACAAACGTCGTCGTTGTCGGTTGTCCGGTTGTTCGGTTGTTTGGTTGTTTTAAAATTTCATTCGAACGAAAAATTTCAACCCGAACGCGAAGTGATGATGGTGATGATGATGGTAAATTTAACACGAAACGAATGAAAAAAAATTTTTTTTTTTTGTGCGCAGAATTTTCTCGAAAGGTTAATTAATAATAATAATGATGATGATGATGATGATGATGATGATGATGTTTATGATGAAAATTAACTTATGTACTTATTGATAAATAAATAAATTAATTAATAAATGTGCGATGGGTCGTTTGGGCCACAACAAATCAGGGGGTCCGAGTTTGCGTCCTTTCTTGAGGGTTCATTATAAAAAATTAGCAGAAGATTATGCGGATTCGTCGAATTCGTCTTTACCGCCATTACCGGAATATTTTTCTTATTGTTGTTGTCAGTGCGGACACACTCAAAAGGTTAAGGTAAGGAAAATCCTTTTTCGATAATGATGATGATAATAAAGTGACGAAAGAAAAAAAACATTGTTTTTATGTTGGATGACTGTTGTTTGGTTTGATTGTTTTTATTGTTGTTGTTGTTCTTGCGTTACGGTTGAGTTTTTCAATTGTTTCGTTAGGCCCTGCCCTCCCTCCTACCCCTTCCCACGCTTTTCCACTTCCTCCTATTTTTTTTTAATTCTTTTCAATTTAAATTTCGATTTTTTTTTTTTTCGTTAACGTAATTTATTATTAATATTTTTTTAAAAAAATGGCGGTTAAAAAATGTTTTTTAAAAAAAAAAAAATTTATTTTTAATTTAAAAAAACGTGGCAGAAGATAAATTACATACACACACACAAAGGATGGAATAAAAAAAGGTGTAAAATCGTTTGTATGTTTGCATCGTGTTTGTTTTTTTTCGAAAAAAAAATAATTTTTTTTTTTAACAAAAAATTTACAAAGTGGAAGAAGAAAGAAAGAAACCGCCAAAGTGTCGGTTGTTACCTTAAGTCATTCATTCCACCCTCACCACCCCCCGTCTACTCTTTTCTCACCTCATCCGCCAATCATATATTTTCGAAGCGAATTTTTTTTTTCTTTTTTTTTTTGCTAATTACACGAAATCGTTATTCATTCATCTTCCACCAAAAAAAAAAAAAAAACCACCACGAAGTTCGTGGATCGTTACACGTTTTTTTTTTTTAACTTATGTTTTTTTTTTTCGATTCTGAAACGAAACGGAAGAGTTCAAATCGAAAACGTTTAAAATTTTTTACCAAACGTATTAAAAATAAATAAAAAAGAAAAAAATGGCGATTTTAACGGGTTTTTTTTCGCTAAATATTTTATTACCACCGAAGTTTCTTCTTCCTCTCTCTCTCTCTCTCTCTCTCACTTCCTCTTCTCATATATTTTTTTTAAACTCTCACACGCAAACTATTAAGAAAAGAGAGATAGAGGGAGAGAGAGAGAGAAAAAACGGAAAAGAAAACATTAAGTTTTTTTTTTAACGAGTCTAATGCCACGAACGACGAATCCATTCCTATCTCGATCGTTTTATTCGAATTAATAAAAAAAAAAGAGAGAGAGAGAATTTGTTTTGGAAATATACTCATATAGAATTAGATGAGGCAAAACGAAAAAAATAAAAAAAATCGAATCGAACAACCGGAAACGAAATTATTTTAAATATTTTTTTTTGAGTTGTAGTCGTAGTTTTAGTTGAATTTTTTTTATTAAAATTATACTACTAAAACGTGTCATTTAACTGATTAAACTTTTTAGTTATTTTTTTTTTTTAACGTGAACTCTCTCTCTCTCTCTCTCTCTTTAACGATTCCTGAAATTTTTGTAGTTTAGTTCCAAAGGCAAAAAAAAAAAAAAAAGAAAAAAAAAAAAATTCGGAAGCCATACTAGTAGCGATGATGTTTTATAAGGTATCATTAAAACCGTAAAGAGGAAAGAGAGGGAGTGGGAGAGGGTGAGGAGTGGAAAGGGGAGATCGGAAATTCAAAACTTTTAATGCCATACCATAAAACGAATGTTCAAATTACAGAATAACCGTGAAAAACGGTTTTTTTTTTTTTTTTTTTAGGGTCCCTAGTTACGTCACGAATCGAATTTTTTTTTTTTTATTCTGGTCAAAATTTTTGGGCAATTTTTTTTTTTTTCTTAGGTAAACAACCGCTGAAAAAAAAAAATTTGACGGAATTAACGATCGATAAATTGATTTTTATTATTAAATCTATTCCCACGCGTAATTTTATACATTAAATCTCGTTATATTTATCGTTAATTTAACTTGATACGGTACTGATGATGTTTAAAATTTGTGTGTGTGTGTGTCCTTTAAAAATTTAAATGCCCACAATGGGGAAACCTGATCGATTGCCCACAACCAAAATGTGTTTTTTCTCCCCATATGACAATTTTATCATCGACGATTTCATACGGATTATATTATTTCAATATGGCTTCTTCCTTCCTTCCTTCCCTTTTTTTATTTATTTATTTTTAATGAAGTTCTTTCATTTTTTTTTTTTGTGTTGGTCACCCTCACGTTGACGTCGTCGACGACGACGACGACGACGTCATCGTTCAAACCAACGCACAAAGAAAAAAAAATTTTTTTTTCTTCTTTTTTTTCTTTTTTTTTTGTACTTACAACATCAATCAAAAATGAATTACGGGAAATGTTATTGTGGTTGTATTTGTTTCGGTTGTTGTTGTTGTTGTTGTTGTTGTTACGAAGCGTAACAAAAAAATTAAAATTTTTTAAATAAGACTTGTCGTCGTCGTCGTCTGCTTTTTTTTTTTTTTTTTTTAATTCAAGGGGGGAAAAAATGTGTTTACTCATTGTCGTAATTAAAAAAAAAAAAAACGGGGTGGTGGGAGGGGGAGAGTTTTGAAGTGATGATGATGATAATAATAATGATGATGATTTGGTTTCCGGTTTGACGGTAGCTTACGAAAAAAAAAAAAAAATTTGTAAAATGTGACAAGAGGAATGGCAATTGGAGAGCGAATGCGATGATGGAATCCGATGAATTTTTGGATAAACAACAAACGCAAACAAACAAACAAACCAATCGTTATCGTAATATCGATTTTGATTTTCGATTTGACGGCTAGAACTGTCTAAATTAATTACGTCACGATGGGAAAAAAAATGTTAAAAACGAGGAAATGGTTCCAGTCGACCAGTTGTTGACATTCTCGTCCATCTCTTCGTATCTTCGTAAATCAGACAATTTTTAAAAATTTTCAAAAAATCAAAAATAAAATAAACAGGTTGTTTAAAGGTCAATAGGTCAACAAAATTTTTTTGTTTTTAATAATTAAATACCTTATTCTATCATCGTGTTCGTTTGTTTGTTTGTGTGCGTGTGCGATACTCTTGATTATTAAAGACGAAGGACGACGTGTATTGTTTAAAACAAACACCATCGCCACCGCCGCCGCCGCCGCCAACAACAACAACAAAATATTCAAGATTCAGGTACGGAAAGGATTGAATTATCAAACATACAAACGAATAAACAAAAAAGAAAACATGTCCACCGTGAACGAGAAGGTCTTTTTCCATATATATTATTAAAAATGCCGCGTAGGTTTTTTTTTTTATTCGGTCAGGTACGCGTCGTCACATCGTCATTTTGTTGCCCCATTGACAAATCATCATCGTCATCGTCATCATTCTTTTTTCTCTCGAGGTCAAAGGTCGTTTAAAAATATTTTTAGAAAGAAAATTTCATTCATTTTTTTTTTAATATGAATTTTTTTACGACGACGAATATCGGTCACAGTTTTTTTTTTTTTTTTACGATTGAACTTTAAACTTTTTTTTATTTTTTATTTTGTAAAGTTGGTAAAATGTGAAAGCTGATTAAAAAAAATTTGTTTTTTTTTTTTCATGCGTTTAACAACCTTGACGTCAGGGTGATCTTCTTACAGTTGCAATGATATCCTCCAGCAAATTTTTTTTTTTTTGTGGGAATTTTTTAGAAAAAAAATTTTTCGTTTTTCATCATCATCATCATCATCATCATAGTTTTCGACTGTTGTTGAATGTTTAACAAAAGTCATTAATAATAATAATAATAATAATAATAATAATAGGAAAATATATGGTTAAAAATCTGTTAAATGTCAGCGTGCTCAGGAGATTGTGAGGATTGAGTGGATGGTAGAAAGGAGAGAGGAAGAGGGAGAGGAAGGGAGAGGGGGAGAGAAAAGGAAAAGAGGTTGAAGGGCAGGGAGGGGGGGCAAAGTAAAAATAAAAAAAAAAGAAAGTTTTTTCTGACTTATTGCGACCGCTTCTCTCTCTCTCTCTCTCTTAATTTATTTTTTAACCGTTTTTTATTATTATTATTTCCTTTTTGGGTTTTTGAACTTGGAGTTTTTTTTCCTCTTCTCTTCTCTTCTACTTCCACGTTTTGTAACATTTATAGTTTCACGATTAAAAAAAAAAAAGAACTCAATAAACGTGTAAATAGAAAAAAAAAGAAAAGTTTAATTTTTGTAAAATGAATTTTTTTTTAAATTTATTTTTTGTCTCTCTCTCTCTCTCTTTTCCTCGAAATCGTTAATGCCACGACAAAAAATCAATTTAATTATAAATAAATTGTTTTTTTTTTTTCCAAAAAGAGTTTTCTATCGTTTTTCATAACTTCCCACGAAATGACGACAATAACGACGACGACGAATATTAAATAAAAATATTTTCAAAAAAAAAAAAAATTTTCGAGCAGGCGGTGAGTGGGCCGAAACGATGGAAAGAGAGAGAGAGAGAAGGATCCCTTCATATATTATTATTATTATTATTATTATTAAATAACTAAAGTTCTTCGACTTTTCGTTCTGGTCGGTTGGATTCCATTCATAACTCGATTCTTTTTTTTTTTTTTTCGAAGAATTTAAAAAAAGAAAAAAAATTTTTTTTTTTGTCTTGTGAAAAGGGAGTATTTTTCCAGGTGCTGGAAAAACAATGATTGTGCCAATATTATTATTATTATTATTATTATCATTGATTTTCATAGCACCACCACCGCCACCAACATCACCATCAACATAACCACCCGATTCTTTTTGTATTATCCACTTATAAGAAAGAAAAAGAGTGAGTGAGAGAGAGAGAAAAAACCATTCTATTCGATATACTCGAAATAATAATAATAATAATGAAAATAAAGTTTATTAAAAGAATATTTTTTTCTTTTTTATTTTGGCAATCCTGTTCATTATTTTTTCATTGTTAAAAAGTTTTTTTCTCTCTTTTTTCAATTGACTCCCTTCGTTCGATCCTTTTTAAAAAGAAAAACTTTTGTGTTGTTTATTGTTGTTGTTGTGCTCTCTTCCTCATATTTTTCCTTTTTCTTCTGCTTTTTAGTTTTTCTCTCGAGGGTGAACCCCCGCACTCGAAAAGAAAGAAAAAGGAAAAAAAAATTTTTTTTTTTTATTTTTTTCTTTGTTCGATGATATAGTCGATATATATAAATTTTTTAAATTTCGATTTATGCCCCGTTCTGCTCGACGTGTCAATAGAATTGTAGTAAATAATAATAATGGTAAAAAGAATGTTTCTTTTGCGTAACGTATCGAAACAAAAAAAAAATTTTTTTTAATTTACAATCAAACTTTAAAACAAAATTTTATTTATTGTCACGTTTTCTCTCTCTCTCTCTCTCTTTCTGTCTTTCTTTTTTCAGGCAGCATAAAATGTCGTACCTGATTTTTTTGAAAAGAAAAGTTTTTGAAAAAAATTTTTTTATATTTTTATAAAAGGTTATGATAAATAAAAGTTATCAGAATTTTATATATATATATAAATTTATAACTCGCGTGCCTTTAAATTCCCCAAGGGGAATTTTAAATCGACTAATTTTGATTTCATCTCTACTAATTACACGATCGACTACCGATTGAATCCTGCTACCTGAAAAAAAAAAAAAAAAAAACATAATTCTACCTTTTTTTTTTACCCCGCCGATATTGTTCCGCCACCACCATCACCATCACTACGACCTTTCTGTCAAATTTAATTTTATTTTATTATGGCGACGATAAAATTTATTAGTTTAATTCCACGACGTTTTTTAAAAATCCGATAAGAATAACTATCAAACAATGGTGCCCTACGTGCCACGATAAAAAAAAAAAAAAAAAATTATTCCTGTGTGTGTGCGAAAAAAAAAAAAGTAAAGAGAAAAATTATTAATCGTGATAAAACGTAATCAGGACCGTATCTTAACCCCGTGCATCTTCCCTTCCCCCTTCTCCCCGCCGCCTTCCACTCCCGCCTCCTCCGCTTCCCCCCGAAACAATTAATCAATAAAAACGTTCGAATTTACGTGCGAGTAAAGCACAGAAAATTTTAAAAAAATAAAACGGAGTCAATTTCCTCAGGTATTTTAGTTTAGTACCTGAGAGTAGTGGCGTATAAACATAAGAAAGACAACCGCATTCCACAAATACCAACATCATCATCATCATCATCATCATCATCAATTCTTCTGGCACTCCTCCACCAATTTCTTGTTGTTGTTGTTCTTCTTCTTTTGTCCACGAGATGATTCATCTTTTCGTTCGTTCCTTCCTTCTTTTTTTTTTTTCTTTTTTCTTTTTCGCATTAAAATAATTTTTTTTTTTTTTTTTCCAGGCCGAAGAATTAAATTCAATAGTTGGTAATGCTTTTAGAATGGCTTATGCGGCACAACTTCAACGTCAGCCAACTTTTCAAGAGGTAATCGCATCCCAACTCCAAGATTCATCCGGTTGGCAAAAAAACATATCATCGACCATCGAAATGAACGTTAAAATTCAAGATCATCCTCCGTCGATTAGGTTATCCGGGGGTAAGGATCCCCCCAAATCCATACCCGGTTTGAAAGCCGTTTACGAACCCTCGTCGAATCAAAGCACTCCGACAAGCGAAGAAAGTAATTCTCCGACGGATTTAAATTCGTATAAGAGACTCTCGGAAAAACCTCCCCTCATAAAACGTTTAGCATTAGGTTTAACGAATAACGAACGAACGGAAGATAGTCGGCCTCTAGTCACTCCCGTCATCGGAACGACAACATCTCCCGTTCACGGCAGACCGCTGTCGGGCGGTTACGTTAACGAAGCCGTAACCGAAACTGAATTTAATAAAAAAATTTTGCAGCAGACGACAAAGCAAATAGATAACAACGATGCGAACAAGTGAGTTAAGAGTTTTTTTTTTTTCACGTGTCACGTGACTTCCGTTTCCGTTGAATGATTTTAATATATATATACATTTACTGTACCATTTGCAGATTATTTCAAAATTTCGAAAATGAAAACAAATCTAAAAGGATATCGCAAATAAGTTCGAGTAGTTCCGGTTCATGTCCACCGACGGGTACCATACGACCACCACCACCTCCACCCGAAAGAATCGATAGTCTTACGGGTAAAGCCGAGGAAGGTGAATTAAGGGCGGCTCCGTGGTTTCAAGCCGGTATACCAAGGTGAGTGTGTGCGTGCGGTGGGGGGCGTGCCGGGTGTGTGCGCGGCGGGTGTTAATTTCCGTTTTGATAAAAAACAATTTTTTTTTTTTTTTTAGGGAGATAACGTTAGAAGTATTAGGACAGGAACCGGTTGGTGCTTTCATGGTTAGAGAAAGTACCAGCAAACCAGGATGCTACGCGTTATCACTTAGAGTGCCTAGAGATTTTCAACCATCCGGTATAGCTCATTATTTGATAATGAGAACTATGAAGGGTTATAAAATCAAGGTGAGGAGGAGGAGGAGGTTCTTCTTATCAACCGTTGTTATCGGTCGTCTTTTGCCCTAACCATAACCGATTCGTTTTTGTTTTTAGGGTTTCACAAAGGAATTCACGACTTTGACCGCTTTGATAACACATCATTCTGTCATGCCTGAACTATTACCGTGTCCTTTGTCTCTTAGTCGATTCAATGCAAGTTTTACGCAGACTGATTCGAATCGGGATTTTCCCGATACCGATTCGGATCCCGATTACGACACTTTAGCTGATTTTCGACGTATGATGGCTGATTTAAACGTCTAGTCAATCGATATTATTATTATTATTATTATTATTATTATTAAATTTTTTTTTTTTTTTTACTTGTGATTAATGTGAATGTTTTAAACAAAACAAAAAAAAAAAAAAAACCGATATATTTGCTATGATGATGTACTAACGACCGGATGATATACTTAATGAAAAAAGGTAAATTTTTATGACTTTCGGTTGTTGTTTTTGAGAGAAATTTCTTATTATTATTTTGTTTTTTTATTTTTTAGGTATTTTGAAAATTGGTGCAAGCAAACAAACCAACGAATGCCCATTTGTTAATTACAATGCCAAAAAACGGTTTTGGAAAACTTCGATCGATCGATATCACGTTTAAAAAAAAAAAAAGAAAAAAAAACCAAAGTTTTTTTTAAAAAAAAAAAAAAAAAAAATTTTAATAAAAAAAAAAAATTATTATTGTTTGTATTTATTTATTTATTTATTTTATAAATAATTCCAAAAAACACCGGAAACCGTTAACTTTCTTCACTGCAGCCACTGTTGTTTTTCATAAGATTAATTCCTCCAGTCTAAGTTGCCAACGGTATGGGGAATAGAAAAGGCAGACCGATCGACCGGAGTCGCCGACCCTCGAGAAGAAATGTTAGAAAAGAAGTGTGTTTTCGCTCGTCGCCGCCGTGCCCTCACTCTCACCGTCCGAAGAATAGTTCTTCTTCTTCCGGAATTACCATTACAGAGACGGTCGCGACCTGCCACGTCGCTCCCGCATCCGTCGCAGGACCCGCGAAACTTCCAGACCCGAACGGGGCGCGACTCCTTCCGCCTCGCGTTCTCGCCGCTACCATGTTGGAAGAGCCCGAAGATCCGCACCTGAAACAGATAAACATTAATCCCCATTTCCTCCCCGACGACCTCCAGACACCCCCAGAGTCAGCCACGACCCCAGGCCGCCGTGAAGAATCGCCAACGCATCGAAGCCAAGACAAATCTCTCTCCGACAGAATCGAATAAGAGGTCTGGAGCCCGACTCGGAGTACCGGGACGAATCCTTTCCCCCTCGTGCCTCGGGGGACGGTCGTGACCTGCCACGTCGTTCCCGCCTCCGTCACAGGAGACGCGAGCTTCCGGGACCGAACGACCCGGACGGCCTAACCACTCCCGGCCGGCTCGCCCGATCTCTTCATTTGCGCGCCCCTGCCACTGCTATCACTCCGGGAGAAAGATCGAAGACATGAACCTGAAAATCAGAAACATTAATCCCCCCCCCGACGACTCCGCTACGACCGAAGTTTGCCAGACTCCGATCGCTGCGAAGTACGCCGACGCACCGAAGCCGGGACGAATCTCCCCCCGACGTAATCCTGAAAGAGATCCGGAGCCCGACTCGGAGTACCGGGACGAATCCTTACCTCCCTCGTGTCTCGGGAGACGGTACCGACCTGCCACGTCGTTCCCGCCTCCTCCACAGAGACGAAGTGAGCTTTCGGAGGCAGTGAGAAGTTCCGAGATTGTCGGGCCGACGAAACATCCCCCTCAGTCCGTCCGCGTTTCGCCCCTGCCGCCGTACGATTGGCTCTTGCAGTTCGAAGAGCGAGAATCCAACCGGTGCGGATTCCGACGTCGTCGTCATCGTCGGAGCCGTCGTCGTCCCGATCTTCATCTTTGTTCGCATCTTCTTTCAGCCGTTGGAATGAATCGCACGCACCGTCTTTAAGCATGCGAACCACCCCCCGAGGATGACGAGTCGACCCCGCGCAAGAGGATCTTCCCGCCGTCCTTCCGCTCGCATCCCCGTTTTTTCGGAGTTGGATGATGATGAATCCTGATAGAAAAATACCGAGTCTTACTTTTTTTTTACCCCTTGGGGTTGGTAAGATACAGTAAAGAACGCATTTCCGGCGTTCGTTGTTTTGATGAATACATAAATCTACAACCGGAAAATTAATTAATTTTTGTTTTTACTACAATTACAGGGCTCACTATTGCTGCCGTTTGCGTTGGTATCCGGACACAAAGATTCCTCGTGCGTTTTGTACGACATTCGCGAGGGTAGAAACGTTCAATGTGTCAAACCTCATTCGTCAGACATAAGATCGATAAGGTTTTCACCGAGCGCTTATTACCTCTTGACCGGAGAATACGATAACAAACTCGTCTTGACGGATTTACAAGGAAGGTATTATTATTAATAACGTCGTGACAATAATGATGAATGATGACGTCATTAATCGGTTTTTTTTTGTCTCCAGTGGATTTGACGTTGCCGCTTCCCAGCATCGTCGTCGCTCATCACCAAGACAAAGTTATTTCCGGAAGGTGGCATCCGACAAAATTTTCATTTTTGAGCACGAGCGCCGACAGGACGTGCACTCTGTGGGCTTTACCCCCCATTTGAAACTACCGTAAAACACCGAGCGTTAGGATTTCGCAAATATGAAATAATGTTTTCTCTCTCTCTCTCTCCTCACGTGAGCTCTCTTAAATTCGTAAATATTATTATTATCATCATTCTCGGGCTGTTGTACTCACCGTCATTGTATTTCCAGAACTTGAAAGTAATTTTAAAAAGAAAAGAGCATCGTAATCATAATCACCATTTCAGTCAGAAATTTCTAGAATTATTTTTCTTATTATCGGAAAAGTGTCATCGCCACTAACCGAACGAACGCTTTTACCGCTTTTCGGTAATAAAATATAAATGAAAGGTGAAGAAGAATTGGGGGAAATCGTTAGCTAGAGCATAAAAAAGAGAAAAAGGTCGGAAAAACCGGGAGGGAAAAAAAAACGGGAACGTGTTCGTATTTATATACATAAATTTGTAAATTTTTTCGTTAGGTTGTCACACGGATCGAACGCCAGAACGCATCGAACGTCGTCGCGCGCGGAATCCAAAAGTTTTTCTATTTTATTTTTCATGTTTCGCTTTCGGCGGTTATTATCACAAAAAAAAAATGAAGTAGAGGGAGGCAGGGGAGTAGTAAATGCATACGAAAAAAATTAATAAAACGTAAGTAATATATTTTTACTAAAAAAAAAAAACGGAAAAGATATATATATATATATATATATATCTTATAGATAATATATATATATAGATATATATATATTATTATTGTATTATATATATATAATATTATTATTGTTATCGTTTGTTTGATAAAATGCTGGTTTTTTTCGATTAATCATAATAAGCTTTTTGAAATTGTTAATAATAATAATAATATCAACTAAAGTATCTATATATATATATATATATATATATATATACTCATAAATGAATGATAATAATAATGATGATGAAAAAAAACGAGATTTAAAAAAAAATATTTGAATATTATTATTTTTATTTTTTTCGTATTTTATTTTTAAAAGTTTTTTTATTTATTTTTAAACCTCGTTTTTTTTTTTTTTTTTTTTTTTTTAAAATTATTTAAATATCGAAACAATACGCTAATATGAAAACTTTTATTATTATTAATATTATTAAAAGTTTGAATTAATTAATAATTTTCTATTATCATTATTATTGTTATTATTATTTTGAATATATGTATATATATATATATATATAACGTTATGGTATTAAGAAGAAAAAAAAGAAAAGTTCTATCATTTTTGTATGTAATGTTTATTTTTATTTTTTATTTTTGTTTTTGTTATTTAACGTTATGTAATTGTAATATTAACTGTTAACGCTGTTTTTTTTTTATTGTATTCTCACTTTTATTATTTGTATGTTAACTTGATGAATAATATATATATATATATATATATATATATATATATATTAGTAAATGCGAAGTTACTTACTGGCCAACCCAATAATTTACATAAAACAAATTATTTAACGAAAATATTTACGTATTGGCTACGTTAAAAGCTTCCATATTTTTATAAGTTCCACGTTAAAGTGAAATACATTTTTCTAATGACACTTTATTTACCATCGATATAATTAAGTTTAAATTGATGTCTATGGTTGTTTACATATATTACTATTATTTTTACTATTTCCCATTGTGAGTTATTTTTCCTGTAATAATTTCAAATAAAAATCGTAAAATTTGTTTTTAAAGAAATTACAAAATGCACGGGAGAGTCAAAATAAGAACGACAGAAGAACAAAAAGAAATCGCAAGGCAAGAGAAACAGAAAAAGGCAATAGAATTTTAATAAAATAATGAATCAAATATTCATTAAAAAATTCATTCAGAAAAACGTTCTTCGAAGAAGGTTTAAATCTCACTGGTAATTTATTAACAGGAAATACGGATATAATAACATTATGGAATTATAGAAGAGAAATATTTTTGTCGTTGAAAAACGACGAGGATTTGGAAAGTTATCAAAAACTATTGGAAAAAGATTTACAATTGACAGAACAGTGCCTGAGAGTAAATCCAAAATCCTATGGTAGTTGGCATCTTAGAATATGAATATTGGACAATTTCCCAAACCTGATTGGAACAAAGAATTAAACCTTTGCACAAAATATCTTCAATTAGACGAAAGAAATTTTCACTGTTGGGATTATCGTAGGATAGTCGCAGAAAGATCAAATGTTTCTCATTTATCTGAACATGAATTCACTTTAACATGAATACTGTATTAAATTATGTATGTATATGTACATGTGTAATTATGATACCTCAGGAATGCCTCCCACATGGTTGAGGGGAGTATCCCAATTGGGTTGAGCAGATCTCTGCAACAGCCTATGCCGGAGGGGAATCTGCTCTCACCTTTGCGAGTTCGGATCTGATGATTTCGGCTGTGAGAGAAGGGTTGAGGTTGAGGCTGAAATGGTAGTTATACTCCTGCGACTGAAGGATATGAGTTGGTACCGGAAGCAGGAAAATCACCCATATGCTGTATATGGATGACTTAAAAATTTATGCAAAAAATGAAGAGGAGTTAAATAAAATGCTAAGGATGGTTCAAACTTTTTCCTCTGACATCAACTTGAAATTTGGTTTGGAAAAATGTGCAAAAGTTAATATTGTCAGTGGAAAGTTAAAATGGAAGGAAAA